AGCAAAAGCTCCCTGTTCAGCCAGGCTGGGCATCTTCCCCAACGGTTTGTCTTACGGCATATGGGGACAGACGGCTCCTGCACCTTTAAGACGTCCTTCTTGAAGAACACCCAGCCTTCCTGGACCCCTTTGCCCTTCAGGACTGTCTCCCAGGTCCCTCCCATCATTTCATAGTTCCTAGAAGCAATTTGGGAGAATTGTCACTGTTCTGCTGCACAAGCCATTTTGTCTCTCTCCTCCATGGATTACCATTTCCGCATCTCCCATATGCCTGATACCTGTTCGCATAGTGGCGAGATTGTTCTAAACAGTGTTGTGAGATGAGTACAACTATTAAGGGAAGGGAGCATTAGAAATTCATGTTTGCATGTAAGGCAGCATAGTGTGAAGTTATGGGCTCTGGAAACCTAGTGTCTAGCAACATGAGTCTTAAGGCCAGGCGTAAAGTTTTGGGGTGACTTTTGACAAATTACTCCATTTTTTCCCTTTAATTTTCATGTCTGTGTAATGAGAACAATGACCTCATGAAGGTCTTAAAATATAAGCTAGTCATTGTTAAAACACATTGAAATTGCAGAGCACCAGATAAAGGCTAAATGTTTTTATTTATTTACTAGTGTGAGTGATTACATTTGATCTTAGTACAGTGTTATTTGTCAGGGCAGGCTCCTGAGAAGGTGGAAATATAAGTTACTGTTATAGTTATGCTGTGGGAAAATAATACATGAAATGCATATCAGCAAGTTGACTTCAGAAGTAAAAGCCTGATATTACCTGATATTATGAAATATCTAACCCTCAATACCAGTTTTTTACAGCAGAGGTGTGGTATGATTTTGCTTATTCCAGATAAGTGTGCCCATGAAGTAAGCTGAAGTTGTTGGCTTTTTCTTCCTCCACTGCTTCCCCCCCCCCCCTTTAAAAAAAGAATACAAAACAGCTTACAGCTGGGAAAAGTGTGCTAGAAATGACCTTCAGCTTCCATGAAAACAAATTTCATGGAGGATTAGCTGGTGCAGGGGTTGGAAGTGAGAGCACATTTGAAATGCTCTCTGGGTAGTGTAAAGAGATGTAGTACCCTGGAAAAAGGGAGGAAGGCAGAAGTAAGAGGGGGACTGTTCTGGAAAGCCCGTAAGTTTTCCTAGAAAAGTGGTGAATTGTCCACAAGCAAATCTTTGTGCTCTGCTGTGGCACCTAGAAGAGTAATGAAACCAGCAAAACTGTTCTTTATTTCAATAGGGAATTGTTGCTGCGGCTCGTTCGAAAGGAGAACATAAACAAAAAATCTTCTTAACAGTCTCCTTTGGGGGAATCAAAATCTTCGATGAAAAGACAGGGGTAAGTAAAATAATCATGTGATGGAACAAAATTGAATCTTTCCATGGGTGTTTCTTTAAAAGCATCCTGGCTGGGCAGTAATATCTCACCAGTGTAAGTGTCCAACAAGTTTGATAAAAGGTTACTGTGTATCAGAGCAAGCCATTAGCTGACTGAGGTGTGAAGTGTAGCATGGGGATGTGGTTTATTGTAAAGCCTTGTCCTGGATGCTTCTGCAGAAGCACTTACTGGAGTACACAGGTGCTCCTTATGTGCATAAACACTCCCAGCTCTGAATCCAGAAAGTGGCAAGAAGGGATTTGTTTTCCTTCTGCCAGATAAAAAATTGTTTCTTGGAAATAACCAGCCCACTGTTTGCAGGTGGCTTTAGCAGGCCATGGTACAGACTGGTGTCTGTGCCCATATGGGTTTTCTCATCCAGCCTGGGCCCAACTGCACCAGTCGTCTGGATGCTGCTTAAGACCCCTCAGCAGTACCAAGTGACTTTTGAGAGTCTAATGACAAGAGATTAGGATTAGAGTCCAGAATTGTCTTGGACTGGGCCCTTTGTGTCATGGGAAGCTGAGGGGAAGAAAACAAGCTGGAACAGGGAGCTGTGGACAACCCCAGGAGAGTGAAGCTTGTTTTCCCCAAGCCTGAGATAGAGAAAAGGAAGGGCACTGGGAGCTGGGGAGCTCCTGGGAGCAGCACATGCTTAGCTGGGATTGCCCTGAAGATGTCCCAGAGGAATCCTAAAGAATTTCTGTCAGTTCCATAATTACCGATCAGCGTAGTTGTAGTCACCATAATGCGATATACTCCTATTAACAGCAGTGACTGTCTTCTGTCAGATATGCAGTAACCATAACAATCAGTGCTTTTGTATCATCAATGGTAGGAAAAGTATGCATTGTATGGAACTGAAGGTAAAAGATATTGAAAAGTTTGAGGTTGCTGTTTGAGGTTGCCAAGCAGCAACTCATCCGGTAGCATCTGGTCAAGGAAGTTGCAGGAGACTTCCATGCCTTACGCAGCTTTTGCCACAGCAATATCATGTTTGATTTTTTAAATTGCTCTGAAAGAAGAAACCTAAGCAAAACATTATACTACTTAGAAAACAACAACACACAAACTGTTTTAATCCTAATTAAGAAGATTTTTTACAGCAGTTTAAGCTCTGCCTTGAATTTTAAAAAGCTCTTGATTTAATCTTTTGGAAGATTAACTATTTAACATGATGCCAGAAATAAAACCCTACTGATGATAGATGAAATTATCTTTGCCAGTTAATTTATATTATTAGAAAATCAATGTCATTGAGCTCACTGATACATAATACAAGTAGTTAGTAATGAAAAGCTCATTTGGAATGTGTTGTGTAAAGTATTCATACAAAAGCAGTGTTTAAGAGAACATTGCTGAGGTTACAGCTTGTGTTCAGAAGATAGGAAATGTCAGGATTAGGGCTGCCAGTGCAGTCATGGTTGGGTCCTCTAATAAATAGACATGAGGGTAGTATTTCACTATGCGATGACACACCTTTTTTTGGCCAGAGAATACCAGCTTCATTCAGTGTGCAGAACAGAGTGTAATACACTGAACAATATGGTAATATTTTGTTTTCTTTTCTTCAGTGTGCAGCATACTGCCTTGCCATGCACTCTGCAAATTGTACTGAGGCCACAGTTACTTACCTGAGACTAAAGCCTTTTCTTGGCAAAATAAAAAAAAAGGAGAGAGACTTGTCCTGTGCTACTTGTCTCTGAATGTTTGACAAACATAGGATTTATTTTCATAAAATAAAGATTAAGACGGGGATGCATTTAGAAACAAAGGTGTGGTTTCGCCAAATTGCTTTTCCTGCAGTGTCCTGCACACTCTCCTGTCTGCAACTAGTGAGGGAGGGATATGAGAACAAGTCTCCTTCATTTCATAACTTTGACACCCTATACTCTAAATCTGACATAACTATATCATCCTTAGAGTAACCCTTTCACTTTACTCACTGAGGCTTAGACTGAAACCTTTAAATCCACCTTTCAGATGTCTGCCCCCGAGCTGCCAGAGTGATGGAAAGGAGTATTGAGTTGCCCTTCTCGAAACAGGACTGTGACAGAGGGATGTGGGGAGCTTTTGACATCAGTTTTTTAAGTGGTTTTTTGAAAGCAGGAGAATCATACTTTCCATGCCAAGCTTTTGAAGCAGGGGTGCATTAACTCCTCTGTTGGTTCTTCACAGCCACCATCCCTTCAGCTTTTTCCCCAGCTTGGGTCTCTCTGTGTCCCGGTTTTACATCCTTGACCCACTCTCATAGTCTCTCTCATCTAGCCTGTCTCTGCTTTGTCAACCTGCAGTTGTCATCTCATTCCCATCCCTGCTGGTAGTCACATACAATCCCAGTGTCTGACGTACACTGGGTAACGTCAGCATCGGGTCACGGACAGACCCCGACAGTGTCTCTGGGCTCTGTGAGCCTGCAGGAGCACTACTGAGGCAAGGTGTGTCCAAAGCACAAGAGACAAATATTTAGGGGTGATGCACTGTGTCTCATCCATACGGCTTTGGCTCGTCCTGGTGTAATGCTAAGAGATATCAGCTGTCGTAGTAGTAAATGATTCTCTCTGTGTAGTCTCACATAGACGTCTGTGTGCTAAAGTCACCCACAAAGAAAGCTGCATTACTGCTATCGTGTGGAGCCTCCTATTAAGCAAAATAAGGATGATACAGTTAGGCAATGCAGGACACTGATAATCCCATTCTTGATTTAGAAGCAATAGAGAAAATCCCACAAGCTGGCAAAACTGGGGATGTATGATTGCTCAGCCTGGCTCTCTTGGTGGGACAGAAGGGAAGGGTGCAGCAAAAAGTTTGTAGCTTGCTCACACAGATCTTCTGGTATCAGTGTTAAACTTAAGAGCCTACAAAGTTTGGAGACTGACATTCACATTCATGCAACAGGGAAGAAAATATGCCCTTAACAGGGCGTAGCTTAGATAATCCTGCATTTGCTTTCTCCTTCTTTAACTGCCTTCCCTGTCCACCACAATGCTTTCTCTTTAGTTGTATTTTTGCAGTTTTGGGATTCCCAAATGGATATTTTAGGGCACAGTGTTTATTTGTTGTTTATTTGGAAAAGTTATTTACGTCTCTGGAATGTTCTTTCTTAATTTTTATCATTGGCTACTGCTGTCATGTCTGCCACAATGGCAGTCTGATGTGATAGAAAATATAAAAAATAATCTGAAAAAATGTAGGCTTCTGTGCATTTAGTATCTTGTAGGCTACTATTGGATTTTAATTTATCACAATAAAAAATCAATTTGTAGCTCAAAACTAGCAAATTTTTTTTAAATTGGCAGTGTCATAGCTGACTTCATACAGATGATTTAGGGGAATTGCTCCATAATTCATTACAGATGAAGGGCTGTGGTTGGGTTACTACTGAAAATGATAAGCAAGGTTTTTTCCCCTGTACTTTATAGCTCTCTCATATGTTCCAGACCTAATACAAAAAATATTGATTTTAATAATGCTATTATTCCAGCCATCAGGAATTCTGCCCTTTGAGTAAATTTATCCATGAAGGAGATTAGGTTGAAGGTGGAATATCGTTTGGGAAGAATTTATCTCACTAAGAAAAATACAAGAAGGATTTGCTATGAGTTTGCACTGTAGATGCAATACAATTTAGTTCATCTATAGCACTAGAAATAATAACAGTCCTCAGTTATATTTAATCGTGCTATTCCATGGTTTAATCTAAATGGGTCCCTTCATACCACTTTTCAAATACTTGTCAATGTATTTAGAACATGATAGGAAGGGCCCTGCTAGGCAGAGTTCACCCTGCAAGCCCGTAGCTTGCATATACTGTTACATAGACTCATCTGCTGGAGGAGCCTGTTCACATGGGCAGAACAACACAAATTGTTCTGCTGTTGAAGTCCCAACAATAGATGTATATTCTAAAGTTGTAATTAGTTTGACTAACAGGATGTTCTCCTGTTGTATGCCAAAAATTGTCATTACACATGGGTTTTGACCCTATTTTTTCTTATAAATGTACCTGTCTTGTCTACTGTCATATGTTGGCCATTCATCCTACTTGCCTTCTCCAGAAGATGTTTGCCAAATATATACCTCATCTGAAGGAATTACATTTTTTTTTAACATCAAAAATCTACCACAATTGTTACTAAACCCAGATTTTTCCTACCTAATGCCACTTCAGTAATTTCGTGGCTGCATATTCTATGAAAATAATTTTTGATCATTTGTTCTGTTATATTCTCCCTGCGCCCTGGTGACATCTCAAGATGTCATCTTTCAAACACAGTACGACACAAGCTGAAATGTGTTCTTCATTAGTAGACTTTCATGAGAGTTCCTTTCTATTTTCAAAAGCATGGTCTATAGAAGGCAAAAATGCAAATAGTTGCATTGTGCTATTTAATACTATCCTTTTCAGGGTGGAACTTAGTGGTTAATGTGTTCCTTAGAAAGAGACAAAAAACATAACTCTCAATATAGCAGGATATGCAAAATTTTAAAGGACCATCATTGTTCATTAGCTATTTATGAGTGTTATTTTGTTAATCACACCCATCAGGCTATCTCCCTGTGATAGCTTAGTAATGCTTCATTAGATGTGCATGACTAATACGGTCTCCATAAAAAGGCTGTAATTGTCTCATTGTTTATTTATGTAACAATAAATCTTTGTTTACTGTAGGTTACTTTCAAAAAAATTATTTAAAAATAATAATTAAATTCCATAAAATGCTTGGGAAACCATTTTCTCCTACATTTTGTGTAATGAGGTATACTTTTAAACCCATGTGCTTTCTAATTGCAAAATCCTGTTGACTTTAATGGAAAACCCAGACACTGTGAAAAAGAAACATGATGAAAGCAAAAAATTACTATTTGGCTTTAAGTAAAGAATTATTTCTGTTAAATAATTTTTGTATTTATACAAAATACTTTTGTATATACAAAATAACTTTTGTATCAGCTCGTGG